GGTTCTAATCGCATTTCAATTAAACTTGGAAACATAGATTTTCTGTTACATTGCACAGACCTCATTAGTTTTCACTCAAATCTGTTCATATTAATTTTCTGATTTGCATAATTAGTTTTCAGCTAAGTAATTTCGAATTATATTTAATGTGTCTCCAATACTCTCAGCACATGGGTTCTTTCTAAGCTTTCTTTGATTGAATTTGTATTATGATATACATGTCTAAGCAAAAATTCATTGAATGATCACAAAAAACTGGCCTTACTAACTGTAACTGCACAGTCTCTGTTTAGGGAACAATTAAACTTGCTTTCTTATCTTAACATTTTAACACCACATATTTGGTGTTAATCAAACTTACTGAGCCCGCAACTAAATTGCACACGTGTAATCCCAAGACGTTATTCTACACGTGTAATCCCAAGACGTTATTCCACACGTGTAATCCCAAGACGTTATTACACACGTGTAATCCCAAGACGTTATTACACACGTGTAATCCCAAGACGTTATTACACACGTGTAATCCCAAGATGTTATTACACACGTCTAATACCAAGATGTTATTACACGCGTGTAATCCCAAAACGTTATTACACGCGTGTAATCCCAAGACGTTATTACACACGTGTAATCTCAAGACATTATTACACACGTGTAATCCCAAGACGTTATTACACACGTGTAATCCCAAGACGTTATTACACACATGTAATCCCAAGACGTTATTACATACGTGTAATCCCAAGACGTTATTACATACGTGTAATCCCAAGACATAAATTACACACGTGAAATCCCAAGACGTTATTGCACACGTGTAATCCCAAGACGTTATTGCACACGTGTAATCCCAAGACGTTATTGCAGACGTGTAATCCCAAGACGTTATTACACACGTGAAATCCCAAGACGTTATTGCACACGTGTAATCCCAAGACGTTATTGCACACGTGTAATCCCAAGACGTTATTACATACGTGTAATCCCAAGACATAAATTACACACGTGAAATCCCAAGACGTTATTGCACACGTGTAATCCCAAGACGTTATTGCAGACGTGTAATCCCAAGACATAAATTACACACGTGAAATCCCAGACGTTATTGCACACGTGTAATCCCAGACGTTATTGCACACGTGTATCCCAGACGTATTGCACAC